CTGGGTTCGATGGAACCCAGCCTGGGTTCGATGGAACCCAGTTGCTGGGTTCGCTGGAACCCACATCAAACCCAGCTCCACTTTTTTTTTTTTTTTTGTTTATATGATTGGTTGTGAGATTATCCAAATTGCAGGTTGTTGTTAGTTATTTTTGGGCAACTGGTTTTTTGTTTTTGTTATATGATTGTTTGCCGAGATTATTCAAACAACCTGCAATTTGAAGGTTGTTGTAGATTTTTGGGCAATTGCATGTTGTTGTTTTTGAGGGATTTTTGGGCAATTGAGTGTGAATCGAGCTGGGTTCGATGGAACCTATTTGCTGGGTTACATCGAACCCAGATCTGCTGGGTTCTGTCGAACATGGAAGGAAGAAAAACAGTAACTGATGGGCAAAGATGGTGATGTGGGACCCATTGGATGTATTTGGCGCGATTTTGCCAGGTAGCATGTGACATGGATGCATGTCATCACTTTTTTGAGTTTTGCTCTCCACGTCATCAAAAAAAATATAAAAAATGCCACCTAAGCAAGGTTAACGGCTCAAATTAACAGAAGGATTAACGGAGTGCATTTTGTATAGTTGAGGGATCAAAAAAGTGCAAAAAATTGTTGAGGGACCAAAAATGTTCATTTCTTAAAGTTAAGGGACCAAATTAAGCATTTAACCTTTTGTATTTCATCAACGATGTTACATTAGAAGTACATACGATCTAAATCTATTGATTAAATACAAAAATGCCAAAACAAAAATACAAAAGAACGAAACAAAAACTCCTAAGCCTAATCGTCCGTCAGGTCGACAGGCATGGACGCATCAGCCGCTGGCGGAGGCGAGCGAGCAGCTGGTGTCTCGGCGGGCAGCGCTATGGCGGGCTGAAAGTTGGGAGGAGTACTCGACGGCTCCTGCTCAGCAACAGAAACCCCCTCGACCCATCCATCAAACGAGGACATACTCGCTGGGTCCTCCCCCTCTTGCAAAACTGAAGGAGGCCAGACGGGTACCCCCTCTTCATTGAGGTCCCACCTCAGCCGCACTGTAGCCTCAGCGAGGGGAGCAAGGTTCTTACCCTGCTTGTCAAGCTCCTCCTCGTCAAAGAATGCCAGCTCGCGGATTGGAAAATCTGGGCGGTGGTGCAGCACCTTTCCATGAATCTCATTGTAGATTTCCGTGGTCAGGTTAGCAGACGCCACCGCCACTGCGTCCTGGAACGTAGAAGAGCCGACCAGCCACTCTGCCCCTTGAGCTCAGGCAATGCCTACTGAGCGTGCGTGGTTAGTCTTCAGCTCGTTCAGCGCCTCCTCAGTAGCAGTGAGGTTCCGCTCGGCCTCGGCGACCTGACGCCTAAGGGAGTTCAGCTCGTTCTGAGTCTGGTCCCTTTCCACCTCAACCCTTTTTGCTCGCTCCTCAATGCGAGCGACCTCATCCTTGGCTGCCTGGATGCCGCTCTCCTTTTCCGCTCGAGCTCGCTCCAAGTCCTCCCTGAGCTCGTTGTTCCGGGCCATCAAGGTTTCCGCCTGGCTCTCTGCTGCGGTTGCGCAGTTGGCCATTTCCGAGCCTTGCAGACGATTGACATCATCCACAAGGCTGGCCTTCTCTGCGGCCAGCTATTTGCAGCTGGCGTTGAGCTCGTTATTTTGAGAGCGAGCCGCCTGCTAGCTCTCGTATAGCGCCACAGCATAGCTGAATGCCTGCCAAACAACAACAATCGTAAGTACCTAGTAAGGAAAAGTAAAACACTTAAACAGGTATGACCAGATACTTACGTCCATAAGTTTAACCATGGCGACCTGGCCGCCATGCTGCTGCATAAATGTTTTGGCCCGCTTATTATCCGCGGGGGGCACAAAGCTGTGCATGGCCTGCACCATGGCGGGTTGACACTCTGCCCGCACATAGCTGAAGCCCTCAGGATAAGCGATCCTGGGGCCCGATGTTGAAGCTAAGGCAGGGGCGGGCTCTGCTGCTGCCCGCGCAGTCGCTTGCGGTGCAGCGGGTGAACGCACCGTTGTGGGACGTGCCACCTGTGCGGGCTGGGTCCCCCCGCTTGTTCTGCGCCTAGCAAGGGGGACCTCATCCTCCTCGCTATCTGTCTCCTCGCGGGCACGTCTGCGCGAGCCTGGGGCCGCAGCCTCAGCTCTGTGATCCGTTTGTGGCCTGGATGACGAGCTGGACCCCCTGTGTGACGAGCCGCGTGATAGTGGCGCTGGGGGTGGCCGCTCGTCAAACCGTGTTTGCTGAGGTTGCGCGCTGCTCGCCCCACGACCTCGGGAGCTCTGGGCACGTTGACGCTGACGTTCTAGTATGCTGCTCATGTCTCCTGCACAGAAAAACGCATAAGACTCAGCCCGGCTAGAATTTCTACCATATGAAAAAATATACCTTCGGTGAACATATTTGCCGCGTCGACAAACCTGAACACGATGAGCAGCTTCGGGGTAACCAGGGCCTCGAGATCTACTAAGTTTTCACGTCTCGCATGCTCTAGCAGCCGGTTCTTGAGATCCGTGTCCCGTGGCAGCAGCTGGGGATAATTCACATGTGCATTTGGTGTGCGCCATTCTGACAGCCGGGCAACGAGGTCATTGCTTACCCTCTCTGTCCGCGTGTCGCGAACGAAAATGAACTGCCTTTTCCACCGCGCCACTTTATTCCTCACGTTCTTGAAGAGCTGGCTCTTATCCCTCCCAGAGAGGTAGTACCATTTTGCCCCTCTTGAGTTTGGACACAGCCGGCACTGGAACAGCAACTTGAACACTATCGCTTTGGCCGGTACCTCCAGTCTCGCACACAACAGCATAAGGCCCACGATGAACCTTATGCTGTTGGGCGTCAGCTGCGTCAGAGCCAGCTCGTAGTCGGCGAGCAGGTCGAACACCAGCCCGGGCAGTGGAAATCGCAGGCCGGCGTCTAAATGATCTGCATATACGGGTATCCAACCCGTCTGCAACACCGAGCAAGCCCTCTCATTCTGCCCGCCAGTTCGCACCAATATAGTCCTGGGGATGTGGTACTCCCGTATCATCTCCTCCAGCCTTTTGTACCCACTTATTGAGGGCGCGCTGTCCGCTACTTCGTGATGAAGCGCCGCCCCAAATTTAAACCCGGCTGGTAGGTCCTTGGGAGCTTTGCGTATGTTACTCAGTCTGCCGGGGAGTACCCTATCCTCCCATTCCCCAGCCACGGGCAGACCCTGTTCGATACCACCTACATTCTCCGGCTCTGCCTCATGATTCCCAGAGGACGAGCTGCTGGACGGTGAACCGCGGTGGCCGTCGCCATTATCTCCGGCGCTTGAACTAGCGCTGATCTCTGACGTTATGGTCTCCGGCAAATCCTGCAACTCTGGTGGTACTATCATCGCGATGGGTTCCGCGGCAATCACTCCCTCTTCTTCTTCCCTACCCTGGTTACCCCGTAGCTCTCTCAATCCTCTGAAGAAATCCATTTTTACCTTTTGAATGATGGCAGGTACTGTGCAAAGTGGTGACCTTGTGCTCTGTTCCTCAAAACCCAAATGCTGTGCTGCAGAGAAACTCGATGAACTTACACCAACAATGAAACGAAAATGGAAAAGGGAACGGTTACGAAAGAAACAAAACCAAAATGACCATGTTAAACGCCGTACGCGTGTCTCTGACGCGCCAATAGGCGTCTCACACGTGGTAGGCGTTTAACCGCCTTTTGCATAACGTGCGTCGCCTCTGGCTATCACGTTCCTCAAACGCTGCGCCAGCATTTATGGCGAGGAAGATAAAGAGATACGGAAGAGCAAACGTATCTCCTCAGAGATCTGGTCAGATTCGGTTGATTTAAAAATATCCAAGATTCAGATCGGCCAAGAATCAGGTCGGGCAAACGTATCTCCTTAGAGATTCGAAAATCCACCAGGATTCAGATCATAACTGCTGATGTGTACCCTACACTGTAACATCAGCTCGCCATTGCGAGCACACTTACCAGGTCGTTACAAACATGACATTCGGCCAGATCGACTCAACCGTGACAATTCGTTCAACAGTGTAGATTTTTTGCTAAAATCCCCCCATGATTCAGCTCGTCACACATCGTGACGACAACCACATTTGTCAGGTCGTCACATGGATTGCAGCTCACACACTGGCCACAAACCTTCGCATAAATCAATGGGCGCCCCAGGTCGCCCTACTTGGCAGCACCACTCGTGCGGGCTGATAAAGTGGTGGTCAAAAAACCCAAGTCGCACTGAATGTGTGGTCGCGTCGCCTCACCTCGTGATCATAGCTAACTGAGCGTCACCTGGTCACACTTCGGTAGTATTCAAAGGTCAGGTCGTCGTATGGACGAGCTGATCGGGCGTTACATCACATGCAAGCTCGTCTGTTGCGAATCACTTCAGCTCGCTGCCATAACAACCCCACACTAATGTGGCTATGAATATCAGCTCGCCCACGCGTTTTCAGGCTCGCGAGCTCGCCTCTTCTCATTTTACCTTTCAGCTCGGTCATCGTCGAGGTCGGCCGCGAGCTGTTAAACCCGTTTGGAATAGGCCCAGCCCAACAGCCAAACAGGGCTGGGCATAGGCCCAACAACGTTGGCCCATGGCTACATCCATCCCAGTTCGTCAACCGAACGCTGGGGGGGGAGTAATGTTGGAATAGGCCCAGCCCAACACCCAAACAGTACTGGGCTATGCATAACGGGCCTAGGTTACCACCTGTCAGCCCAAGCTGAAGGAGCATTGGTACAAGCATACCCACGTGACCTGTGCCAGGTGGACCAATGGGGTGCTCACACGTGTGGATGTAGGTCAGCACCAAGGGGCTATAAATACCCCCCAGCTACCTCCGATGAAGGTAATCAATTTCTACGCTTCTCTCTTCGCAATTACTCCTTGAGAGCACTTCTCTCTAGAATATTGAGTATTGCTGACTTGAGCGTCGGAGTGTTTTTCCCGAGGAAATAACCTCGGAATTTTCAGGTGTAGAAGCAGCTGAAGACTTCAACAGTGTTGGATTGTGAAGCTACCGAAACAACCTGCAATGCTGCCTTTGCTGGTGTCCAGAATGTAATGCGAGCAGTTGCACATAAAACTTGCCTTTTTACCTTGGACTCCAGCTCAAAGAAATGGCAAACATGAGTGCCCTCCAGTCTTTCCCGTGAATTGGAATTTTCACCATTGGCAAAAAGCAAACAAATACATCTTGGCCCCAATTGTCATTATAATACGTCGTGATCTTTGTACTTTCATTGTTTCTCTCAGATAATTTTTCTCTGCCTCGGATTCCTTTATCTCTCGCCAGTTGCCATTTACCAATAGCATACCCACGTTTTCAAAATGCTAGTGGAATTGCCTGCCTTCCAGCAAAGCGAAGCAGGGAACAACTTTATGCAGAAGTCCGGAAAAACAATTCAAAAAAAGCAATTATTAGCCCATAAAAGACAGAAAATGTCAGTATTTCACTGTATGAATGTACAATTTTGAGTGGCTGAGTTGGTGAAAATGTACAATTATTTGCCAGCATCAGACCCTGCAGACTAAGCGGTGAGAGTCTAGAGCTCAGCGCCACGTGAAATGGGTCCTTGTAATCCCCTCTAGACATCAGGACATGACAGCTATTAATGGAGTCAGAAATTAGACGTGAGCGAGAGGTATCAAGTTTTTTTCTATAAAAACATTTATAGAAATATGTAAGAATAGAGAAACAGTAGTAAATTGGTAAGGTTAAGTACCCGCTAAAATAAAGGTTTACAATGATATTATTTAAAAATTGTGGGACCTAAACCATTAAAATAGAATCAATAGATAGTTAAAATGGTCAAACTTTATCAACTGATTGGCAAATCATACAAATTACCGCTTAAACTTGTTGAGAAGTGGCGAAAAGGCCTCTAAACTAAAACCAGTAGCATATGACCCCTTAAATTCGTCAACAGTGGCAATTCAGCTCTTCTCTAACAGCTGGTGTCATCATTCCGTCCAAACTAAAATCGAGTTAATGTT